TTGTCAGTCATGAGGGGGCTGGACTGTGGAGAACAGACAGGAAGTAGGGGGGCCAATTAATCCAGGCCAGAGGGAATGAGGGTGAACCTGGGTAGTGACAGGTGGAAAGAAGGGGATGGAAATAAGAGATGTAATGGAGGTAGCATGGACAAAACTTGACAACAGCCTGGCATTTGAGGATAAAGGGGCCATGATGAAGAGACCAGCATGGCTGTGAAGCTGTGAACATAGGCAGTTAGTTCCAGGGATGAAGCTTCCGTGGATAGAAATAAGTGAATGAGGAGAAAAGGTTGCGTAAGAGCAGGATGATTCTGAGTTTCTGTTTGAGTCACATTGTATCTGAGATGCCCATTGAGCAGATATGCCCAATAGCAAGGCAAGCTGGTGATGTGGCTCTGGAGGGCAGGAGGGAGAGAGAGAGAGACAAAGGAAGTCTTCAATAACCATCATTGGAGATGATAACTGAACCCGTCTTGGCCGATGGGACTGCTGAGAGGGAGGAAACATCTCGAGGATGGAGCCCTGGGGCTCACCCACACGTGGGATACAGAACAGTGATGACAATGTGGCAGAGGAGACAGAGAAGAAGTGGTCAGAGAGGGAGGAGGAGAAGCAAAGAGTCTGGTGCCGAGAAAGCCCAAAGAGGAGAAGAGGGCCCAGGAGGAGAGGGTGTCCAACAGAGCCAAATGCCTTAAGGTCAGGAAGGATGAGGCCAGCAGATTTCAAGAATGCCGAGGTCACTAGTAACCATGGAGAGGGCAGTGTCAGCTGATTGGTGAGGTCAGAAGCCAGATCGCAAGGGGCTGATAAGAAAGCCCAGACAAAGACCATAGAGGCTTCCTCCAAAATGTTGGTTGTAAAAATGAGGAGGGAGGGCCCGAGCTGGGGGAGGGGGGGATTTTTAAGCATGGGAGACACCTGGTGATGGGGAATGTTTGTAGGTGGCAGGGAAGGAGCCAGAAGAGAGATTTTAGATGAAAGGAAGAGAGATGATTGAAGTGCCAGTGATGACCTCCAGGTCAGGACTCAGGGCTTCAGTTTCCTTGCCTGTAACCTGAGAGGGTTGACCCAAACTGCAGCTCCTTTCTCCCCAGCTCTTTAAAGGTCTATGAAGCACACCTCTCCCAGTAAACTTATGAACCAGCTAGTAAAGTCTCCTAAATCTCCCCTTTACAGATGAGGAAACTGAGGCACTATGCCCTGCAGTGGTTGCCCAGGATCTCCCAGCTAGTGACAGTGGCAGGAATCCAACCCAGATTTCCAAGCCTTGTTCTTTCCCAACCAACTCATGCTCCCACTTTACACAATGATTCCTAAGGTTTCCAATCAACATATAAAGAGATGTTAAAAACCCAATTACATAGTACTTAAACAACCAGCCCTTTGCCCAATCCAAAGATATCTAGAGAAATGGTCTGCAGAGACACGTTTTTTCCCCTTTATCCTACATCAGATAACGGCTAGCCCCAATCTGTTGGATGGAAACACAGAAAGTGCCCAAGGGAGCCGTAACATAGAGCCTTTCCATCCACTGCTGCCTTCACACTCAGGTCTTAATGATAAAGAAACCGAACTTTAAAAGGGAAAAATAACTGTCCTGTACAACTCAGGATCCTTTATTTGAATTGCCTCTTGAAAACCTTGGCATTCTCCTGCTCCAGGGGCCGAGAGACCTAACATTGTTCTCTAGCACTCCAAGCTCTGGGAATATGCCTCGTGAACCTTTGAAAGGCACACCCTACCCAGCATTCACCTCTGAGCCCATTGGGCCAAAGGGGCATCGCTGCCTAACCAGTGTGGCACGAAAAGGTACTGGCGAGGGCCCGGGCATGGCCTGGCAGTGATGTCACACTGTTTGACCAGAGATGCCAGAGCAGATTGCTTGATTTGGGGCCTTTCAAACTCTTTAACCTTAGGCCGATAAATACACAAGTGAAAAACACAAAGGAAAATCACCTTTCTTTCCCCTCCAATAAGTAAAGTAAGCAGAAATATCCATTACAGAAAAAAATGCCTAATATCCACCCCTGGCATTCATGGTGATGCCACGTGTGAGGGAGGTGCCCCCTACAGATCTGAGCCTTCCTAATGAAACTTCATGGGCCGGGAATTTAACAAATGTGTGATAAAGTTAAAGAGAACTATTTCAGTCCCTCCAGTTCTGGGCTGGGTAAGATGTCTCTATAGTACACACACAGAAACGACGAAGCTCAGCAAACCCAGATTATCATTATTATTGTTGTCACTGCTAATAACAGTTTTAATGCAGTGGACTTGGAGTCAGTGCCAGGTGAGTCCAAAGGAGGCCTCAGACACTTAACAGCTGTGTGACCTTGGGCAAGTCACTCAGCTGCTGTAAAATGGGCTAACGACAGCCACTGCCTTGCAGGGGATGTTGTAAGGATCCAGTGGGCTGATGTCTGCTAAGTGCTCTGCAAACTACAGCTCTCTGTACATATTAGCTATTAACTCTTCACGCTGGAGCAAAGGTAATGAAGGCCTCACCCAGAGATGGCTGGGAGGTAGGTTAAAAGCTCCTCCTTCAAACAGGCCTGTGGGAATGGAACCGGATCTCAGTGACTCTCTGCAGACCCTGGCCCTCTCTCTGCCTGTCCATCCCATCATCCTCCCAATGGGCTGCTGGCCTTCCTCGATGTCTCCCGACCTCATGAGGACACCCACCAATGGGACACTGGGGCAGCCAGATTCAGCGGGGGTCTTTGGGGAGGGAGATGGTACCTTGTTCACTTTGCTTTTAACTAAAGGCAGTGAGGCGGGGGCTGCCACCAGCAGATCCAGCCCCTTCTACATCCCAGGCTCCAAAGGTCAACATATTAAATGTCTGAAACATGACCCCTCCCCCCCACTTGGCACCAGCTGCTCGTGGGAAGTTTTTGGGGGCTGGGAAAACTTTTTAGATGCACTGTTAGTTTTAAATGGAGCTTGAGTTGGTGGCCTGTTGCCAGCCAGGATTCCTCGATGGGCAGCAAGGGTGAAGGGTGGCAGCCCCACTTCCTGCTGAGCCTCCCCAGCCTGAAGGTTTGGACCTCAAACCCAGCTCACTGGAATCAATACAGAACCTCCCAGAGCCAGATAACAAACAGTGCGCAAGCTTGACACCTCAGATGAATTCTTGGGTCTCCTTTTCACTGGGTGTGTGGTGTGGCGGGGAGGGTGGTGACCATGAAAAAGAGTCTCTCCTCCCCCTCCCCCTTCCCAGACTGTGGCTGGCAAGATTTAAATGCTGAGACACAGGCTAGCTTTCACTACCATCACCCTGGCCTGTTCAGAGAAAGGACTGCAACATCAGGGACAAGTATTACTTACTGCCAATTACATGCTGTAAGACCTTGGGTAAGTAATTGTACCTCTGAGCCTCAGTTTCCTCAGCTGTAAAATGAGGGAGTAATGCTATTTGCTGATTTGCACAGATTTGCCAATTCTGGTCTTTGTAATTAAAAGGCAAGACCCATGCCACCCCCCCTTTTTTGGCCAGAAAGCCAGTCAAGGGACTGATCTGCAAGGCAGGGCCCACAGGGAGGGGGTCAACCCAGCAAGGGCAAACAACACCAACTTGGGAGACCAAGACAGGGTTCAAGGCCCACCCCTTACCCCATCAGCCCCAGGCGGGTTCCAGACCATTCTCAGTGGCTCTTGAGCAGACGGGTCCCAGGGTTCTAAGCAGCAGCTTCCCCAGAATGACCCACAAGTATGAAACTGGACCCCAGTGGGGCCAGTCCCTGGGAAAGTGAGCCAGGGCCGGGAGCCCCCCCCTCCCCCGACACTGGCCCCACCACTTCACCAGCAGGCAGGCTGGTCTTTTTAGCTGGTGGTCCAGGGAGGCTGGTATGCCAGGCAACATTCTGCCTCCAATCTCTTCCTGGTACATGTGGCCAAAATTAGGCTGCTCAGTGGCAGAGTTAACAACGTTTTGGCAGAAACCTGTCAGGGAATGGGCCTGGGCCCTAAGGGAAAAAGGAGCGACTCCCTGAGCTGCCAGAATGGAGGTGCTTTCAATCGAACATTTTAATATAATGAACAAAGACAAACCTTTCACTGAGAAGGAAAACATGAAGTCCCAAGTGAATCAAATGTTGTTTAACAAGTTGTGCGGCCAGAGAGGCTTCTCCTACTGTACCTCCGGCTGAGTCCCTACCTGGATAGACTGGGAAGGAACCTCAGAGGCCAAGGAATCCTAGCCCTTCACTTCACAGATCAGGAAAGCCTCAGGGAGGCTGTTTGTGACCTGCCCTTATTCTCAGATTCCTAACTTGCCACAGCTGGAAAGGGCCCTCAGAGGCTGTCTAGGGGAAACTCCTCATTTTACACATGAGGAAACTGAGGCCGGGAAGGGAAAAGATCTGCCCACAGTCATATCACAGACCATAGAGCTGTGATAATAGATACGGAGGTGGAAGCGACCTGAGGCCATTCAGACCAAACCCCTCATTTGTACAGATCTCAGGGGCCAGACTTGACAGGCCCTGTGTCCATTCTCATAGATTCCTAACTTGCCACCGTGGGAAAGGACCCTCAGAAACCATCTAGTGAAATCTTCATTTTACACAAGAGGAAACAAACCCAAAAGTGAAAGAGGCGGTTCCACAATGAATGAGCTGAGTGGCCAGCCCAGAGAAGGAGACACAGCCACAGGTCTCTGGATTCCTAGTGCTGGGGTTTTTTCGATAGGCAAGACCATGCTCTAGCGGGGCAGAGCTGGGCTGGGCTGGGCTGGGCCGAAAAGGGCGGTGCTCCCCTCCCCACCCAGAGGGAGACAGTGAGAGCAGGGCTGGAAGCGAGGGGGGAGGGAGACCTCAGGGCCCCCCCCAAACAGCCTCCCCCAGCCAGCAGCAACAGGCACTCTTCCACAGCTCCCACCGGGACAGCTCAGGAGGCACTCGCCCGGCAGTGGGAACCAGAAACCAAAACAATTCTCCCCACAGCCCTCTGCCCAGCCACCACCAAGCCTGACTGCTGGGTAACAGGCTCCCTCCCCTTACCAGTTTCTGAGCTTCGGGACTCAAACAGTCTATTTCTTTCTTTTGCATGGCTGAGGACTCTGTTGACAGAGGTCTTTCCAAGCCCAAGCTTCACCTCAGGCAGCGGCAGCAGCAGGGGTAGAGGGCAGAAGGCAGTGGGTAGTTTTTAGGGCTCTTCTCATTCATCCAAGTCCATCTCAGGGGAGCAGGCCCGAGGGGCTGTGGATCCGCCACATGAAAACCAAGGGGAAAAGCCTTGCTACTTGGCAGAAGGGAAAAATCCAACCTGTCTTCACTGTGATGAGGCTTCCATGTTTTCCAGCAGCCCCAAACAAGGATTTGGGCTCAGCTGTGGCCTGAGGTCGGTCACCTGGGGCGTGGCCAGGAAGTGAACCAAATGCAGGTGGTCCCCAAGGTCGCCGACCCAAACTCTCCAGCGTCTGCCTGCTGGGGATCCCACCGCCTGTCTCCCCCAAAGGCTCAGCCCAAGCTCCACCGCAGCCTCCCTGCTCGGGCCAGCCCCAAGTAACTTTCCGTTGATCCGTCCCCCACCCTATTTCTAGACACACAGGAAAGGCAGCGAGAAGCTCGCCCTGGCTCCGCCTCTCGCCTCTCGGCTCCCAAGCTTCATTCTGAGTCAGCAGGAGAGGAGTTGGCTGAGAAGGTGCCGAGAGGGCAGACAGACAGCAGAGCTGGGGGCCCTGGCCCTTCTGGTTCTGGGAGCTGAGCCCAGGCCGGACGAGAGGGAAGGACCGACGGCTTGGGCTGCCATCCCCTGCCCTCCTGCCAGTCTCCCTGCCTGGCCCGGGCATTTCAAGCTCTGCAGGGCACATCTGAACTGCTCAGAAATAGACTTCACATCCTCAACAGGCATATTTTATGACTCCTGGCCCTTAAATCCTCCCTCGTGGCAAAGGTCAAATGAGAAAAAGGCTCCCCAGACGTGAGGCTGGGCTCTGCACAGACAGGGACGCACCAGGCTGCTGAAATGGGAGTCCCTGGACTACCCTCTCACACCTGGACTGCTGGATCCCTCTGGTTCCAGACTCCCCACTCTCCTTCACCCTACCGCTGCTGCCAAAGGGATTTTCCGAAAGTACAGTTCTGGTCTCATTGTCTTTCTGCTCAGTGAATCTCAGGGGCTCCCTATTACCTCAAGGATTAAAACCGAACCAGCACAACTTGGTCCTTTCCTGTCTGGAAGCTTGGAGGACTTGGGGGCCCACAGTTAAGACCTGTCAGTACAGCTCTGGTCTGGCCTGTGCTCTGCTCCCAGAGAAGAAAGAGGACTCCCAGTTCTGGCTGCCTCCCTACAGCTAAAACCACCATCTGTTAAATGGGCTCTTTCCCTGCCACCATCTACCAGAAGCAACCTGATGCCACTGAAACCACTAGGCTTCCAGTGACCTTCCCCTCAAAAATAATTGGTCTGTGCATTTCAAGCTCTGCAAGGCACATCTGAACGGTTAGAGACAGAGATTTCACATCCCCAACAGGAAGAGAGCTAGGTGACTTCCTTCTAATCCTTCCATGTAGAGCTCCCTCCATCCTCTCACAATCCAGTTACACTGGGCCTCCTTGCTATCCTCTGCCACCTAACACACTCCATTTCCCATCTCCAAGCCTTGGGCCCTGCCTCATGCACTCTCTTCACCTCCACCTTTTGGCCTCCCTCCCAGGCTTCCTTCAGCTCTCAATTTCAACCCTCCCCCTCCTGCAGGAAGAGGCTCCTAGTGCCTTCTCCTCTGAGACCACCTTGTCTCTACTCCATCTGTATCTGGCTGGATTGTTGTCTCCCCCATGAGATTGGGAACTCCTTGAGGGCAGGGACCCTGTTTTTGTCTTTCTTTGCATCCTTAGCACAGTGCCTGGCACACAGTCGGTGCTCAATAAATGCTTCTTGACTGTCACACTTCTGTGTACTTTAGGATACTGAAAGCCACAACTCAGTGCCTCACCCAGTGCCCTAGACATAGTCCACTCCTAATCAACGTTGGCTGAATTGAATGATTAATACAACTTTGCCAAGCACCCTCTTATAGAGAATGACTCCTACTGTTTGTAAATGTGACTCAAATCAGAAAAAACTTCCCGTTAGTGAAGACGGCTAATAATAGGAATGAAGACAACCAGCAGAATTTATATAGAGCTTTCTAGCTATTAACTCATTTGATCCTCACAACAACCCAGGGAGGTAAGGATTATTATTATTATCCCTATTTTACAGGTGAGGAAACTGAGGCACAGGCAGGTTAAGTGACTAGCCCAGGGTTTCACAGTTGTACCCACAGAGGAGTCTGTGTTTTTGCAGAGGCTGTCTCTGTCCCACGTCTGGAAAGCCTTCCCTCCTCACTTCCTTTAGGACTCACCCACCTCCTACAAGAGGCTTTTTCTGATCTTTTTGGCCGTTCCTTCCTTCCTTCTCTCCCCATTAAAGTACATACTTCTTTGTGAAGACCACAGGATCATAGCCTCAGACTTCAGAGGAAGGGTCCTCAGAGACCGTGGGGTCCAATCACCTCATTTTACCGGTGAGGAAACTGAGCCAAAGAGGTTAAGTAACTTATCCAAGGTCACATAGCTGGTAAATTTTGGAAGCAGGATTTGAATTCAGTTCTTCCAGACTCCAAGTCCAGTGCTCTATTCACTGCCACACCTGGTAGTCTCCCCTGAAAACTCCTCAGGGCAGTGACGCTTTTGTGTCCCCAGTAGCTGCCAGCAGAACACCTGACACACGGGAGGGCATTAATAAATGCTGGCTTGGTGATAAATTGAATGACTGTCTCCTCCTCTTCCAGAAAAGCAGATACAACCTAAAACTCGATATGGTTGCTAATTAATCCATTAACAAGTATTATAATCAAAGCTTGCTGACCTTTTTATTCTTCATTGTTAGGTTTTTGGAAGGGATGTAGGCTATTGGGTTAAAAAGGGGGGAAAATTGCGAAAGTATTAACAGTAAGGATATGTCTGTTTCTCTAGTCACAATGTGTAAAAAAACCTTTTTTTTTCTTGTTTGTGGACTCAGAGGGCATGGACAGGTAGTCAGTCTACAAGTACTTTTAAAGTACATACTAGATGACAGGCATTGTGCTAAGCTCTGAGGCTACAAAGGTAAAAAGCCAGAGTCCTGCCTTTCCAGGACCCTAGAGTCTCATGGGGAAGAAGAAAACAAATGAATCGTGGGCAGGGATGATATATACAAGATAAGTTGGGGGTGAATGTCCACAGGACACAATTCTCTTCTGAGCTCAAATGTCAACAAGCATTGATGGAGTTAATGCCCATTCAGGGAAAGTTTCATCTTCTCCCCCGACTTCACTAAATCACTAGCAAAGAGTCACAGCCAACTTCTCCACTGGACTGAAATGCGTAAATGTTTTGTGAAGTGGCTTCTCTAATCAACATATTCTAATAGGAATCATTTGCCTCTGATTCATATCATTGAGTTTCCACTGACCAAAAGACTGGTCTGGGTATTTCATCCCTGCCCCGTTGAGCACCTCTGAAGGTCTCAGAAGTATGCGTTTCATTCATTTCCTCCACCCCCTAACAGGAAGACAGGGACTGAGCTTGGTGGGAACCTGAAGCAACAAGGCTGCTTTTCTTCTGCAAGATTAGTGAAACCCCCCCTTTTTTTCTGACTGACTCTGGCTGGGGGATAGAAACAACCAGAAGGAAGTCATAGCTGAGTCTTTAACTAAACGATTCACCCTTAACCAGTTCAGTCTCCAGGCACTTGGGCCCCCCTCCCCCAGGCCACTTCCTATCTCTCCACACTCTCTTGCCTCGTCCCTCCCCCTCCCCACCCCAAGAGGAAGGGGGGAAGGTGGAGTGAGAGCAAGAGAGACAGGATGCCGTCATCCCCTGCTGGCAGCATCTCGGTTTCACAGAGGCAAAAGGGGAGGTTGCTTAGCAACAAGCTCCATTGTGTTTCTTCCGGGCCAGGCTGCTCCAGAGAGGAAGCTGCCGTCTGCTGGCCCCGCCCGGTTACCAAATGAGGTCAGCTCTGCCTCTGGGGCCCCAGTTCTCAGCCACTGCCTGGCATCGCGTGGCGGGCCATGGCCTCTGCCAGGCTGGGGCAAGAACAGATCTGCCCACCCAGCTCCAGGCACAGGGAAGCATCGTGGTCCACCAGACAAGTTTCCAGCTGTTTGGTGAGCTCCGGACGAGGTCCACATGTGGCCTTCTGTTCCATCAAGGCCAAGCATATGGGACTGGCCAACGCTTCCTCCCCAGACAAGGCCCCGGGGACACATTTCTCACAGCCCCTCCTTTTAAATACAGAGTCTGCAAAAGCACACCCACCCCGTCCTATAACACAGGGAAGTCAGCGCAGAAGCCTCCATCCTGAATGAGCAATATCTCAGTCATAAGACCTTAGAGGCCACCCAGCCCAGCCTCCTCATTTCACAGAGAGGGAAACTGAGGTCCAGAAAGGGGAAGCGACTTCATCAGATCATAGACCTCGGAGGCCAACTCCCTCGGGTCACAGGGGAGGAAAGGAGGCCCAGAGAAAGGAAGTAATTTGCTCCAATCACCCAGACAGTGTCCAGTCAGCACACTCGGGGTTGCCAGTTTTCTTCTGTTCCTTCTCCCCAAGAGCCAGCACCAAGTTCTCCAGTGCTTTCCCAAGGGCCCGGATTTGCATGAGCTGCCAGCAGCGGTTCAGAGAGAGCCAGGGACTCCTAGGTCCCCTCTCCCGATGATAGTTTTCCCAGGAAGGCTCTGGCTCCCGCCACAAGAGATGCCCTTAGCTATCCCCTCGGGGAGAGGACCAGGCCTAAAATTCACCCTAAAACAACAATCCCTTTCTTCGGTCAACCCCAGCCCCAAGCTGATAGGATGAGGTAGGGAGAGGAGGCAAAGGAGGGGCAAAGAGGGTGGAGGAGGAGATATGGGGGAGCTCCCTTCCCCTAGATGAGCCACGGATTGGCTTAAAATAATAATACCTGCATTTATATTGTGCTTTAACATGATCACATACGATCCTCATAGAAAGCCTGGGAGGGAGGTGATATTATCCCCTTTTATAGATAAGGAAACTGAGGTAGACAGAGGTTAAGTGACTTGCCCAGGGTCACACAGCTATAGGAAGTGTCAGGCAGAGTTGCAACTCAGGTTTTCATTCTACCTACTGCGCCACCTACTGGCCTCTCACACCTCACCACCCGACAGGTAGGGTACAGTGGTAAGGTATAGGAGACTTCATCATCCTGAGGCTATTCAAAATCTAGCTTGTGTGAATTCATAAACTAATGAATTTTAAAATTCTTCTTTTGTTTTTAAGTTACTTTTAAAGGCACGATGCAGAAAGAAAAATTGAAATCAGGAGAGGACTTTTCACTGGCAGAGGGAACTTCCTGCATGTCAGGGACCTTCTTTCTCTGTAATCTAGAATCTTAGAGAGTTACCACAGCACTAAGAGGTCAAATGACTTAGCCAGGATCACACAGACCCTGTGTGACATAGGTGTCCAAGGCAGGATTTGAACTCAGATCTTCCCAGTCTGGAGGTCAGCTCCTTAGCCACTCAGCCAC